GCAGCCTCCAGGAAAAAGTGAAAATACTTGACTCTTCATTTGCTTAAGCATTTATTGTCACGTATTAGCCTTTCCAGTAGCTCTCCAAATGCCAGGACACTTCTGGTTGCCATAGGTTATTACACTGATTAATTCTTTAGTGCTATTTTCTCTATTTGTCATCTTCATCTGCATGAGTGTATATACTGAGATTTGGCTTTCTTTATGGGAACTCTGTGTTGGGTAAATTAACTGTTTTTTCACTGTAGCCATTTATTTGATTTGTCTGTATTATGTTTTTAGAACATGCAACAATATTGTAGGAAATGGCGAAGTTCTAGGAGCCCTTTCAGGAAACATAGAATTTAACACAAGATCCAGGTCACAGCTTTCCGTGCTTGTAAAAATAAATTGAAAGAGGACAATTCATTAATTCAGCACTTGGCATTTTTTCCTTTGATCTTTCTCCAGTGCTTGCTGTGCTGTACGTGCAGTATTCATCTCGAAGGAGGGAAACAAATAGTTTTTGCTATAGAGGACTATAAAGCTGGGGAGAAGAAAAAAATATATATATTCAACTAATCTCTCCATGCATTTTAGAAAACAGAAAACAAGCTACATACTGGAAATAAAAGCTGCTTTTTCTGGTGTGAAACGATGTGATGTGGTTTTCTAATTCCATTATGTAGTTTCAGAATGAACTAAGGGTAAGTCTGTAATTTAAGGGTGTTTGTGGTATCTCTGTGTTGAAAATCAAGTTGTCAGACGGAGAGACATTCTATTTTTGTTCAGTTGATATCAGAGAGCATTACATCAAAGCAGTAAACTCCTCTTGTAAGAACAGATGCAGCAACCCTGAAGCCTATTTTCTCTCTTGTTACATTAGTGTTTAATTAAAGAAAACAACTAGTTGGAGGCAGTTACTTTCTGTGAAATGTAATGAAGATTTATTTTGTAAGTGACCTTCGCTGTATTAGCTGAATCAGTAATCAGTAAAATTAATGGAATAATCAAATGATATACAAACTCATAAATCATCGAGAATATGCTGTCAAAAATCCAGCTTTTAATATGTCCTATTGTTTCACAGCTGGATTAAAAATTACAACTGCTGATTCCTGCCTTGATGGGAACTGAAATGGCATTTAAAGGCTCTGCATGATGGAGGGCTACCAGGCCAAAAATTTTCACAACTGTTAATTTAGCTGTAATATGATTTGATGTCACAGGGGCAAAGTTGAAGTTGAGTACGGTGTTGTTGCTATCTTTCAGCAAAACTTGAATTATCGGTGTAGGCAGTCGCCAGTTAATTAGAGTAATATCAGTTTAAATGTCTGTCATTGAGGGTTAATGGTATCAAAGAGCTGCCTTGTACTTGAAGTACAGTCAAATCATCTTGAATAGCCCATTGTATGGAAGTAATGCGAGCACAATGATTTCACTTTGTCATAAATTACCAGGATGCCGTTTATTTTCATATTTCGGCTTCTATATTTAAAGAATTTTGGCAAGTTCTTCCTAGTCATGTCATTTTTCATGCTAGGCTGTTTTAATGGGTTTTTTGGCTCTTTGTAATTGTTTAACACGACACAATCAAAATTCCTTTCCATTTTCATCTAAAAAGAGACGTCTTCTGCTGGCCTACTATGAAAACGGGTCATGCCCTCTTCCACTGGATAGCAGGCTACTCTTGAAAACAAGTAATTCACATTTTTGCGCAGCCAGGCAGCAAAGTTCTTTCAAAGTATGCTGGAAAAACAAAGTACATGTATCAAAAAGCCCTCGACTGTAGTTGAAGTCAAAGGGAAAATATAATTTATAGCTTTTAACAAAGGAATCTTGGTTCTAGTTAGGTTAGTAGTGCTATTCTTTTCTACATTTATATATGAAATAAATTCGTCGGAGTTAGTTTGAAAGGTCCTAGTACATGCTTTGTCAGGCACAAAGCCATCAGTTGCAGCCGTAGAGATAATAAGCCCGTAGCTCAGGGCTCTGTCATAATTCTTCAGTGGACGTTTAACCTTTGCATCATCTCCAGCAATCTCTCAACAACCAGGGTTGGGGTTTAGCCAGTAGCACGTGATTTTGCTGACGTTTCCTGAGGGCGCGACCTTTTGGAGCAGAACTGGAAGGGATGCCAGCTGGGAACACGCTCGAGCTGTTGGCCGCACCGCGTCGGCCATGCAGTTTGAAATACAGCGCGGTTCTTCCTGTCTTTGCACTGCTGAATCGGGCTTTCGAAGCCAATATGATTGGGTTTTGGGAAGTCTCCCTGGTGCAGTGGGAGGTGTCCCTGCGCGTGGCAGTGGGGTCACAATTAAGTGATCTTTAAGGTCCCTTCCAACCCAAACCATTCTGTCATTCTATGAAATCAGGTTGGCAAAAAATGTTCTTGAGCTTGTCATCTATGAGCGTATACCTAAAGCTCTTCAAGTTAAAACAGAAATAAATAATCAGTGAACCAACCCCCCCAAAACCGACCAACTTAATAAGCCAGGAAAATCCTGCTGTCATTCCAGCAAAGGGGCAGAACTACCTTGCACCAAAGCATCCCGCCTCTCACATGTCAGTTGTTTGCTTTGGCTGGTCTGGTGCCCCGCGAATGCCGGGTGGGTGTCAGCAAGGCAGCCGCGTTTATCTGTTAAAATACGACGTAAACTCAACCAAAAGCTAAATAGAATGACTCATTCTTATATTAAATACAATAACGAGACGGACTCAGTTAATAAAAATGTCAGGTGTCATTTGTGAATTTTATACTTTCCCAGTTTCTGTGACTGGGTCACACCAAAGCTCAGCCGAGTGACAAGAACTCGGAAAACTCTGTTTCCTTCTCTGCCGTGTTAAAATGGAACAGCGTGTCGCTGCATTCGATGTGCTTCGGACTGTTGTATGATTTACTTCCAAGAGGCTATTGACTTTGGAATAATAGAGATCACGGGAAGAACGCAGGTGTGTTTAACTGGCAGGACAAAGGCAGAATTGTCCAGTGGCACCTGATACAAGTCGACAGTTGTCTCTGGTAGAGCGGCTCTCTCCGAGAGCAGGATGCACCCTTTTTGCCACCATGCAAATTATTTGTTTGTTCTTTTTCCTCAGCATGTGTGAGGTCAGTGCTAGCTGATCGATCCAAGTGAACCGCTGGAGATTCTTAAATAAGTAAAGAAATAAAAAATCTACATTCACGGTTTCCAAGATGGATTGCAAACGGTCCAAACCTGAAATTGTGTTGTAAGGGAACAGACACATTCCTCCCATCATTTTTCTTTACCTTTTCCACAAAGTAATTTTCATGCTGACTGGAAATTTTAAAGAGCGAGATTATTTCTTTTTTACTATAATTCAAAAATATTTTTTAAATGCTCTTCCTGATTCACCTTTTTTCACACTGAGTTCTAGAGAATTTCATCCTCCGCGCTTTTTATTATTCTTATAGTAAAAATGCCCTGGAAATAATGCACAATAAACAAAAACTAACTAAAGCTTATCTTAATTCACAGCTAATCGTGCATCTCTATCTTTTGAGAATCTCCAGCGTATATCCTGTTTCTGTTAGATTGTGAATTTCTTTATAGTGCATTATAGTGCTCTCGCAGAAAGTTTAAAGAGTCTTCTTAAAATACTTACAGCAAAAGAAGTATTGGTTGTCTCTGCTTGCTTGACAGCATTTTGAAGAATGTGGGCTTATATTAAGAAGTTCCAGGAGGTAGAATTAAAAAAAATAATAAAAATTAAAACTAGTGATATCACAATCATTTCAATATTAATGTGAGCCTAGAAAAAATTTCCAGCATCACTTGCAGAAATTAAACTTTCCATTCTTGTGAATTAATTTGCCTAATGTTGCATCCAGTCGACAGAAAAGTAATCCCTGCAAATGAAGCCTGGCTTTTGGCAGATTTAGGAAGTTTGGATGCGGGGATTGACCTGGGATCCTGTTTTTCACTGTGCGGCTCCGTGGGAGAGCACGTCCAGACTTTGTGCGTAGGACGCGTTCAGCTGGCGAAGAGTTTTAGTCACAGGTGTGTGCAGGGGGTGAGAAAACAGCCTGGCTGGTGGTGGGGTTTTGCACCGGGCTGGCTTCATAGGGAATTCCTCATATTGAAATGTCGTAATTTAGTTTCTTGAAATTGTGAGTCTCCTCAGGGTTTAAAAACAGGTGAGTTGTGATGCTGGGTTAGTATTTGGGTAGCATCATTTTCCTCGATTTAGGTGCTGGATTTTGTTTTTAAGGAGAAGACTGCTACCTAGCTGAGTATAGTTTAGCTCTTGAAAAGCTGACCTGGGAAGCTAGTTTCTGTATTTAGAAATTTGTTGTTATTGTCAGTCCATGTACAAAATACCTTAAGCAACTGTATCATAACACAGGCAGAACCTGGAGCACGCACTATCTATAGATTGTAAAAATTTTTCCTTCTGGTGGGGCACTTCTCGACACCCTCAAAATTTGAGTTGCTTGTAGTCAGTGAAGTTCCCACGGTATGTTTTGTAAGAGTAGAGAAGTAATTTCTGAATCACACTTGGGATTCTGGTAGGAGGTTGATGTGGTTATCGTGTGTTCTTACATCCTTATTCTACACCACGTGCAGCGTAATGTGCTCAGAATCTCAGGAGATCCTCTCTGCGCCTTCCGTAAATGGGTGCTTTTCCATCCTGAACAACCGAAGGTGGTAACAGGAGTGCTCAAGCTAACATAAAAATTTAGAGAATGAAGATAACTGCTATTGTAACAAAAAGTTACCAACACTTCCTGTACAAAACTGTAGGACCTGCTTTATTTTGATTGGTTTTTTGTCTGATTCGGATGTGAAATATGTCCTGCAACGCGCGCGGGACGTTGCCTCGCTTATGACACACGCATTGGTTACACTTAGTTGTTAAAAGACTAATCTTTTTTTTTCTTTCCCACCGTGTTTCTAGGCTGTGTGCTGTGTTTGGTGGCATCTATTGTCTTCGCCATCCTGTGCGGTGCCTCGTAGTGGACAAAGAATCCGGACGGTAGGAGTGGTATAAGTAACCTTCTGTTTATATACAAAATACGGCTGAAAAATGTGTGAAGTCAGTTTAAAAAAAAATGATTCTTCAAAGATCCTCCTTGGTATTAATAACACATCAACCTTGATTAAAAGTAATTTGTGTATAGGTCCTCCAGAACAGGGAAGTGGGTCTAGAATATAGAAACTAAATTAATTTCCCTGCAATATTACTACAGCTCCTGATCACCCAAGCTTGGAAGACAAATCATTTCAGCTGCCGGGGGGCTGGTGATGAGTGATGTTAGTTTTCCTTGTGGCCTTACCTACTCTAATTGATTTTCATCAGATGACAACAAAGCCCTCTGTTATTGCATTTTTAAAAATGGAGCTCACCTAAAGACTCGTCAGATTAATCTTTGCTGATAATGCATGTCACTCCAAGAGAAAAGACTTTAATGAGTTTTTAGGTAGATTGTTGTCATAAACTATGCTGCCCTCTTATCCTAGGATAAATTCTTTTACAACAGTATCGGGCCTGTAGGCGGGTTTAAAGTTGAGCTAGGGAAAATCAGCCCGGAGTTTTTTCCGCAGTGGCATTTTTCACACCTCTGTCAATCGTCACGGTTTCTGTTCTGTGCATTCTGTCAGTTATTAGTCTAATCGCAGACTTCTGCTCTCTTAAGAGTCTGTTTTCAGCTTAATTTCTCTAACTGAAAAGTTCCAAACGTTCTGTAGCAAATTTTGAAAATGAAGCTATAAAATAAGTAGTAACGTTTTACGGGGAAAATGAGTTAAACGGTCAGTGGCAGGTGTGAGTTGGACTGCACGAGGTACTTTGTAACTAGATTTGTCATGACATGGTCAAGTAGTGTCTGTTTTTCCTGAAGTTCTATAAACAACAGCTTTTATCTTTCTGTCACTTCCTTAAGGTTCTGAAGTTCATTGCACAGTTTTAGAGACGCAGATATGTTAGTATTTCATCCTGCGTGGTGCTGCTTCAAGTGCATCATTCATATGCAAATGAAATTACGCCCCTTTCACAACTCTCTATTTTTTTTACCAGGAATATTTGAACTTTTACTGTAGGCAGCTTTGTTTTCCAATAATGTTTCGATAGCTGACTGGCTCTTCCAGACAAAGCTTATGGTTGTCAGCAACTTCCAAACACCACCCTGTGGAGATCTTAGCTGGGCAGTGGAGCTGGTTGCCCCCGTTTCCAGCTTCTTTTGCACGTTCTCTGAAATGAATGTTTTCACTTTTAAGGTTGTACGTATTCCAAAAGAGTTGGAGTGTTTTGGTTTTTTTGCTTTAACCTGCTTTTAGGTTTGAATGTAATAAGTTCCTCAGACTTCCAGATAGGTTACAAGTGTCTTCTTCAAGCTATTAGGCTGCTTTAGTGGCTCACTTACCCCATTGTCACTTAAAACCAAAGGATAGATTATTAAGGTGCAGAAATATTTTTAAAAGACTTTACCAGACTTTCATTACTCCAGAAACATTGATCTGTTGCTAATGCCATTACCTGGTGCTGAATATGAGGAAGCACAACACATCCAGCTTCCCAGCGCTACTTCCCTGCCTTTTCCTCGGAGCCACCTGCCTCCTCCCATTCTTGCTTTTTAGATCTCCCATAGTTATAGAGCAGGGCTTCTACCAGGTAGCATTTCTGCATTACAATAAAGCGGAAAAACCTACAGAGAGAAGTGTCAGACATCTTTGAGATGATGAAAATAAAGCAGCTTAAGTCTGGACACTTTTTTTTTTTAAACAAAAAAGTGTTTTCAGCAATGAAAGAAGCATCATAAAACATTCTCTTTTTTTTCTCCTAATAATTTTAAAAAGTCTCAAACGTTTTGTTCACTATAGCAACTTTTTGCACACAAAATGCTGCGTTTCTTTGCCCGAGATAGATATTTTTATTCAGCTATGTTAATTTGTCTTGATTTTCTTCTCTCTCACTTGAAAGCAATACTTGCGCTTGCTGAGTCTTTTCCTTAGAGCGTTACTTAGCCACCTATCCAGGTAATCGTTACTCCCTTTCCCTTCTTTTTCTTCACATTTCTCTTCCCTTACTGTGTTTTCTCTCCTTGCACCAGCTCCGATTTCCTCATGGCTTTGGGCTTCAGTGTTTTGCTTCAGGTTTTTGATAAAAATCAGGTCTCAAGTTGTTAATGAGGGTATTTATGCGTTACTGAGCTTTTGAGTCAACAGGCCATTAATAGTCCTTGGCGAGAGGCGAATTCGTACCTCGTCGGCAGTGCGGCTGGCGCTGTGCCTTCGGAGGCAGCTTTCCTTGGGTGTGAGCAGGTTTGAACTCCTCACAGCAGAAATCCAGTCAAACTGTGCAGTATTCATTAATATTTCGTGAGCATCTTCCCTAGGCTTCCAGACTATCAGTATCTTAGTCCCATTTTGAATATTCGTGCTTTAGTACACGTAAGGAGAATTTATACTTGTAGATACAGCCTTGATTTTCTTCTCAGACTTTTTGTTGGTGGTTTAGAGTTTAATTTGAAGTCCCTAATTATCACCAAAGTTGATTCCAAGTCTTGTGTAGACGTGGTTAATGTTCTTTCTAGCACAAGAAAAATAAAAACCCATTCAGTGTGTAGTTTAATTGCATTTTCACTTTTTTACTACCCATAACTGTGTACAGAGAACAGTAGATTTAATCTCCAACTATGCAATTACTTTTATCATTTTACTGGAGTCCTTTTTATAGCTTATAAAGTGGATTCAGGGAAGACAGCGGGAAAATATAGAAACTTTCAGACATAGTTATTTTAAGGTTTTGTTAATCCACTTGGCAATTTCTATTTTTTTCTAATTTTTTTCCAGGTTGTAGCAGATTAGATCTGCTATTTTAATACATACGCAGAAGATCCTGCGTTCTTGATAGAACTCTGTCAGAAAATAAAAATGACATCAAATTCATTAGGTCGAATGTCTGCATGATAATTATTTGTCTTTTTGGTGTTCTCTGTGTTTACTTTTTTTGTTCTCTGTGGTCACTTTTTTGGGTACACGTGATAAAATTTAAGGGATTTTAAATTATGGGGATTGCATTAATAATAATGGTAGGCACTTATGTTGATCAGACTTCCCATATGTTTCCAATTACGTAGTTGTGTCTCAAGAGTGGAAGAGATATGATGAATGGAAATTTATACATCTGTAATAAAAAGATCTAGCAAACACCTAGTAATTTACATATCTGCCTTGAAATATTGCACGCTGGCTTTGTCAGTGCTGGTAAGTCCATTTCAAGGATGTCGCCCTTAGTCCATTAGTTTGGATAATGAGCCCTATAAAGTACATTTATAACTCGTGGCACTGCAAGGAGATGGATTCTAATTTTCATCCTTTTATCTAGACACATTGAAAGAAGGTCAGTGGAGGGTTCTGTATGATTCATTGTCCCAACACATATCAGATGACAGAGACCTGATAATGTCAGTGCATAAGTGTTCTCCATATTTGGAAGCAGGACTTGAAAGAAATTTTCTCAGCATCATGCTTTGAAGTGAAGTGGAGACTGAAATTAAAAGCCCTATCTCTTTTTCTGTTTAAAATCTTATCAGACGTATGACCCGATAGCGATTCCTGAACAAAGGAGGGGAAGCAGCACTTAGCAGGAAAATAAAAAGCGTGTGGTTGCTGTGGCTGGCTTTGAGTGATGCAACATGACATTTAATCAACCTTTCCCCTTCAGTAATGTTTCAGGGAAGGGGGCGGGGGTGGCAGGGGAAATTGTTTCATAAACAATAAGAAAGGTTATAATTAGAAAGGAACTGTTTGCAGTATTCAGATGAGTGCTTGAGAAGGAGATCAGGTTAAGGCTAAGAAAAAGCTTCTTCAGACTTGAAGTGAAACGCGTGTTGTGTGGAATGTGATGGGAGTTGTGTGACGAGTACTGCTCGTTCCAAGTTAAACAGTTTGAACGTAGGTGTGTCTGGAGTATCCAGAGTGCTACAAAGCCAGCATTGGAAGTTAGTGTGTAAATGTCACGTGTGTGATGTCATGAACCTCTTGCACTTTGTCAGTGAGCTTTGTGGACGCCCTTCTCCATCCTCGTTTCAGACTACAGAAGCACCTGGTTTGCTGAAGCTGGTGGCAGCTGATTGCTGTTACTTCTTTTGGTTATCTACTTTCATAGAGAGGTTTGATCGCAGCCGCTAACGAATAACTTGAAGTTCCAGAAATGCTGTTTATTCCTAAGGCAAAACTTGCACATCAGGTACTTACTGATACAGGACTAATGTTGTGCCGCGATAAAACACATTTAAATCTGTGAGGGAAATCTGTCTCAAGCATCCATTTGTTTCTTTTAATGCTCTCATATGTGTGTGTGTGTGAGAGAGAATTTACTGATTTGAGTCTCATATATTAAATCCATTAAATCCATTGAAACACTGAGAAACTGATTCAGAAGAACTTTTTTAAAAGAAAAATGCGGTAACTTTTGTACACCAAGCAAAACTTAAGTAAAGCTTTGCTTTATTTGTTTATACAGTAAATGCTCTGGTATTGCAGAAAACCTTAAAATCTTGTTTTACAAATGAGTGTTAAGCCTTAGAGGTACTTAGGGTTTAGAAAAAAGCTGTAAGGAAAGAAGTTGTAGCATATGTATTTTCCTTGCCCTTTATATTGCAAAGAAAACCTGCAGGGCTTTCTAAAGCTGTTTGCAGTGTCTCAAGCTGAGGACAATACGTACAATTAAATAAAACACACGTCATGGCATATAGGAGGCAGCAGCAGAGGTGGTTTTTAGTTGGTATCTATTTGTCTCATATATGCGGTTTAGTTTCATATATGTCATGTCTACATCTGAAGTTTGCTCTCTCGTATTTTTCCCAATTAAAATCTGAACAGTGTATCCCGTTCCCATATAAGCTGTCTGGTTCTTTCTTCCCTGCAGTTTGCTTTTCCGTCCCATTTGTGTTCGGGCGCTTGCGTTACACTCGACTCCTGAAAATTTTTGTGGCAGAGTCTCAGTTTGTACTTCTCATTTTGGTTTGACCTGCTGGTATTCAGAAAGATTGGGGTGGACGGGGTCTTGGGTTGTGTCTTGTTGGATTTTGAGTTTGGGAGTTGTGTTTGGTTTGGTTTGTTTTTTGTTGGGTTTTGAGTGGGGGTTTTGTGTGTAACTTAGAGATAAATATTACATTTAGCCACAAATATAGAAGCTCCGAAAAGTTGTCTCATAACAGTGTGATGCATACGTTTCTCTGCAATTTTTCCTTACACCTCAAGTTAATTTGCCTTTTACTTTGTCAAATAATATTGTCAAAATAAACTTGTGTTTGATAAAAGTTACTAACGGAGGAGAAATGACGCTATGATAGGGCAGCACCTACAAAATAGTTGGCAGTATTGGTTGTCCATGTCTCATGTGGTGAGAAGTATATGCCATTTTCCTGTACAATCAAACGTCAGCGTTATTGGCTTATATTTATTCTTTCTTTTAAAGTGACCAAATTATTAATGTTCACATACCATTTTCTGTAAGGGCATTGCATGTAAAGATCATAGATATCCGGTAGAATAGGTAAGTCCAGGATTTAGTTATCAATTTCAGTTGAGTTGTTTTAGGGATTCACGTGTAGCCAGCTTATTGGAAAGACAGAAGTGATTTGCTTTGTACCTTCATTTGTTACTATATGTATAAATTTCTTATTTTACTTTGATTTATTTATTTTTTTGTAACAGATGCAAGGCTATTGTGGATCACTTTGGGCAGAGAATAAGTGCGAACTATTTTATTGTGGAAGATAGTTACCTTTCAGAGAGCACGTGCGCAAATGTGTCTTACAGGTATGTCATAAAACACGAAACACAGTAAATTGCTTTAAATAGTCGTATATAAATTACCCTGCAAGTTAAGAGATTGTTGTCTCCTGGTTAATCTTAGCAGTACAGTTTCTGAGAATAGTTTTTTCTCTTCTTCTGAATACTTGAGGGCATCCTTTCTGTCTTTGGGTTTTCTTAAATTGTGCTCAAAATCATATTCACCTTTTCCTTGTAAAAAAAAAATGCAGTGGCTCTAAGTGCATTTGGGACTTCATACTTGTTAAAAAGTTTTCATGAGGTGGAGGTGCCGGTTGCTGTTCTCGCTTCAAGTTTGTTTGGGTTTAGTGAAGTATTAAAAATTATTCTTTGATTTTTGTTGTTCTTGACAAAAGCACTGTATGTATACTGCCTTCTTGACAAAAGCATTGGATGTATACTCGCTTCATCTTAAAAATATTGCAGATAAGGTATTAGCAAAACTGTAGTAGAAGGTGCAGAAAGAATCATCCGCAACAGAGGAGTAAAATCTTCCGTGCATGAGCTTCACCCTAGTGCTTTTCCCTTTAATCCAAAGCATCTTGTGCTGTTTGGAACATAAGAAGTCCTGTAACGTGCTGCTGCTCATCTTGATCAAATAAACAACAGAATTTACTAAAAACCAGAGGTTATTCAAACTGGTTTCTATAACAGCACTGGTCATTTATTTGTTGTTGGAAATGCTCCATTAATGTTCCAGATGTTTTCCCACTTCAGCAACAGGCCAAATACTCCCCTAACACTCCCATTAATAAAGGTTATCTGGTGAAACAGCCTTCCCGCAGGATGATGTTTAGGCTGGTATTGCTGAAGCCATGAATCCAAATTGCTCTTTTTTACATTTCTGTGAAATGTCATAATTGTTTTATTTCATTGTAGGCAGATCTCCAGAGCAGTGCTCATTACAGATAAGTCTGTACTAAATACAGATTCCGAGCAACAGGTACGGATCAATTTGGTGATCAATTTGAATTGTCTATGTTAATATTTAGGTTTTGGCAGGACTCAATTCATGCTTTTATTTCTGCTTGAATCCAGCTTTTTTAGTCAGCTCTGCTGATAATTGCTAATTTGTTAGTCTCTATCAAACTGTTAGGAATTATTTAAATATTTTTTTTAGTTCATTGACTTGGGTTTCTATGTTTGGTTTGCACTATGTTAATTACAGAGTTTCTCAGCTGCTGTCTTAAAGGTAGATCATGTTGCTTGCTTTTTAACAAACTGTTACCTTTGGTATTCTGTTAACTGGGGATTACTTCCCTTGTCTAAACTTCGTTCAAACTTCTTCTTTTTAACACTTTTACTGTACAAAGATTTTATCATACACTTTCAGATCCTTCTTCAAATGTTCCTGCTTTGTCAGTCTTTCCAGATGTTAATCTTCAAGGATATTCATTTGTGTTAAGTTTCTTCTGTACGCTTCCTGTATTCTTACAGTTTAATTAGGATCTACAGAGTAAGAACGTGATGACGAACGAGTCTGCTCTTCCCAAGCCTTGTTACTGACAGTCCCACGAGAAAGATCTCGAGTGATTCTCACCTAGCGGTGTTCTGCTCGATGTTCAAAAAAACAACGTTGCTGTCTCTTGCCAACAGATTTTTAAACTGTTCTCTTTTGGAAGGAGTTGTGATACGAGTTTTTCTTTCTGTTCTGCCATTCTGAATGAAGGTGGCCTTTGCTGACTAGGCAGAAATCCTTGATTCTGTGGGATCGATTGCACAAATTCCTACTAACAAACCGGAAAATAAAATTGTGTAACTGTGTAATTGTCTGCAGTTATTTTTCACCTTTACTCCAAACTCTGTAGGTTGCCCCATCCTCCGTGTTACTCTGCGTTTAAAATAAGTTGTTCTTTTTGCTTGATAGGTTTCCATTCTGACAGTGCCTCCAGAGGGTCCGGGCAAACCGGCGGTTTGCGTCATTGAGTTGTGTTCCTCAACCATGACGTGCATGAAGGACACTTGTGAGTACAGGTTCTGTGTAATCTTTTGACTCGGTCAGCTCTGAAACAAAATTTGAGATACGTCGGTCTCGTTCTTTTGCTGCACGAGGACCAGTGTGCGACCCGAGAAGAGGGTGTGCACGAGGTTCCTGCTGCCAGCACGGGAGAGACAGTCCAGTGTCTTCATTCTGTAGCCCCTGTGGGCTGCTGAGTAGGGCTTGAGGAGTCAAACTCAAGTCTTTTGCATTCAATTATTATTTTTTTTAATTTACACATGATAATTATTTCTTTAAAGCCCTGTTGTGATTTTCACGAGGATAAAGCGTAGCATTCTATATTTCCAAATGGGAATTTCCAGACGTTCCTTTTAACAGTCGTGGGCCTAATAAGCTTGGTAGTTGTAGTTTTTGTAGCACTGGGACAATATTCTGTTTACAGTAATTATAAAATAGCACCAACAAAGAGCTCTTATGACTGCTGTATTGTTTTTTAGAGTAAAAATATGATTAATTCTACATTTTTGTTTATTTTGAACGTTCCTTGAGATAAGTGAAGATTTGGCAGAATGGCAGAGGAGGTTTGTGGAGAGCACTGGCACGCTCTTTCTTCTCCACTGGCACTGGCTGAGATTGTGCAGACTTCAAGTCAAAACATAAAGGTTTTTTTAAATTGGAAATGTTTTCTTTGTGAAATTTGGTTTGCAAAGAATTTCTTTTACCACTATAATTAAAGGGCTAAAACTCACCCACAGTGCTCAAACCATTTCTGACAAAACCTGTAAGCAAAAAGGTGGGATTGTAGTTAACATAGATAATTTTAATATTTTTTTTTCCCATTTCAGACTACTTTTGAAATTTAACAGAACCTTTATGCTATGGGACTCTGTGGTGTTGTAAAAAATGCTGCAGATTTTTGTTTTCCTCAGGACAGATTCTCAACACAAACATCAAGTGTATTCCAGTATTATTTCTAGTAGAATATTTTGTAGCGTATGTCCTTGTTTCTACTTTTTTCTTAATCAGCATATACTGAACAATTAATAAGTAGGTTAATATTGAACAATTAATAAGTAGGTTAATACTTATTTTCACTTACACGATAATAAATTTTTCCTTCCGTAGATTAAAAACACCCTCTAAAGCACGTGAATCTTCTGGGTAGTTTGTTGTTAGTTTGGGTTTTTTGGAAATTAACTACCCCAGCTGTGCTATTAAATTGAAATTCAGGCTTCTTGTATTCTGAAAGTTGAAATAGATGAGCAACAAAATGTTCTTATGGGGTATTTATCTTTTGTTCCAAATTCTTCTTCTCAATTCTTGTATAGATTACCAATTTGGGGCACTATGGAAGACAGACAGAATTAGAGGTTTCCTGACCTAATGCTGTTTAATGAAAATCAACTATACTAATAACAAATTTGTTTTACTGTTACCTAGGCTTGCACCCTCTTTGCATATGAAAACAGAGGGAAATAAATGATTGTCACTCAAAGTTATGTTTCCTACTTTAAAAAAAACCACAAGGGTGGTGAAGAACTTAGTGCTCTAAGGCATTTTGTTAATATTTATCCGTAAAATAGCTTTATTTAAGGGTTCACAAAACCTACGTGGCAGGAAATTAAACTACAGGATTGATGTTCAAGTAGATATTATTAGTTTTTTGAGAATTTCTGTGGTGTTGAAAATTAAGATTTCTGTTATTTATTTTTCTCCATAAGTACTTTTCATTTCACAAGAGGAGCTACTACAGTCCTTAATGGAATTTGTCTTCATATATTGAAATAATATAGGTGTAGTTTAGGTATAGCTGAATTCTAGTTATGGGACATATTTCATAATTTGAAAAACCCCAACTTTTACATCATTATCTGTAAATGGGTTTTAACCTGACTGATTTCTCCTTCAAACAATTATTTAAGATAAGTATACAAATACATCTACTCTTTGATCACACTGCATAAGTGACAGGCACATAATCTGTGTTGCCAGTTGAGTGGAACCAAACTCCTTCACTTGCCCTAAAAATTGAGACTATAATGATGAAATCATGAACTAAACTCATCGTTCTTCTGGCTCGAAGAATTACTTGAAGACAAATGTTGGCAACCACTGTAACTAATGCAGTTATACCTGAGTAAATCAAATATAATCAAAATATATACTGATGACTGTGACTTGTAGCCATAACCTTAAAGATAATAAAAGAGATTTTAGAGAAAGTAAATTATATGAACTTTAGTGATTTATAGCTGGGGTTTTTGAGGAAAGAATAGATTATACTACAATATTTGGGATTGCAAACGTTTAGTTAAGGTTACAGAGAAGCTTTTGTTATCACCACCTGTTCTCTTTTACTTTTTTAATTACTTACTCCTTTTAGAAAGAAGATTTGGTTTTGGTTAAATAAGAAATGAATATCTATGTCTGGATATAACCCGTGTTTGTGCACTATGAAAGAAGAGCGTGAGGGGTTAAATTTCTGGTCCTCCTGGAGTTGGTGTCAAACTTGGTGCTGTAGATTCAAGTACGATGAACTTGTAACTAAAGACACAAATATAGCCAGACTGCGGGGTCAAAAATTTGTCATGTGAGTGTAAAATAACACCGTAGCTACACACTGGCATTAAGGTCATCAGAAATGTTCGGTGCTGAGGGAAAAATGCGTCAGTTTAACCTTTGTGCCAAGCTGTGGTCAGCTTCGTCGTGATTCTCTTCAGATCCTTCCTGCTGATACATTCCCAGACAACTGTTCAGGGGCAAATGAGTCTGTTAATGCGGTTTTATAAAATGCTTTAAGATGGGTCTTCTAAACACCTGAAGGAATGGATATAAAATCAAGTGGATAAAGCAGCAGCGTAGCTGGTTCTTTAGCTGAATGAGACCAGTGGAACAGAAAAGAGGTCACAACTCCAGCACTTTGCAAGACAAGATACATGTGGGAATAGTATGTTCCATGAGTAATCTGATGAGCAACTTTATTTTCAGTAAAACAAGTACATTGGCAAGAAATCTAAATACCAAATTGTGTTATGGAAGCAAAACTGAATTTTCACATAGACAAAATTGGATTGGGGCATCGATTTGCCCGTGCTGTAAGGTTAATTTAAATTAATTATACAGTTCCACAAATGTCTTCTTGTGGTCCAGAGTGTTTTCATGTCAGCTTTTTCCAGTATGAGTTTGCTGTACCCTGTTTGTTCTGCTGTTCACAGAGCACCTCTTGAATTCAACTGCTTGAAATGAGTTTTGCAGATTATCAGAAATCCTTACTGATGCACCGAACCTAATTCCACCATTACCCAACCACAATTTATTTCTCCCAACCTATGAGATAGCTTCCTAATTACTCCTGGAACTTAAGCCAGACTTAAGAGTAGCCCATTCAGTCCCAATTTAGCTCTTCAAGGAGAGTGCTGGTGTGGTATTTGTGGGTTTATTATGTTGTTGGACTGTCAACACGGATAACGATGTTCTTGGGGTTTCTCTCTGTACCGCTGATGTTAAATCACGCTTCCATCTTACCAACATATATGGAGGAAAGGTAATTATGAGATATATTAAGAAAAATTCTGTGTGGTGTATATACGCCGTGTTTCCATAGTACAGTACTCCTCAGGGTTAAAGAAAGTGATTTCTCTGAAGAGAGGGCTGCTCTGCCTTTTAAAAATTGTAAATGATATTTATGTATCTGTGTGGTGGTGATTGTAATTGGTTTGTGTTCTCTCTTAACAGATTTAGTCCATTTAACCTGTCCATCAACTAAAACCGCTAGGGAAGATTTAGAGCCTGTTGTACTGAAGTTATTCAATCTAAATACAGAAGGAGGTAAAAATAAAGTTATTGTGACATTATTTTGCAAAAATATAATTTACCCGTACAACTAAAGTATCTGTTACCGAACATCTGAATCTGTCATCAGAGTCAACATATGGTGAGCTGCTTTTTAGATAGCAGCATTTCAAAGTAAAGTAATCTATTTTGAGCGTGAGATTGATTAGGCAGATGTCAGGGTTTTTGTATTCGTGATCTAATGTTTCAAGCCTTCTTCAGCTCTGGTTTAATTGCAGTATACTGCAAGTCTCTAGGACCTTTTTAATTTTCCACCTTCCATTTTTCACGTTGCTTTTCAGAATGTCTTTCAAAGGTTCAGTAGTGAAGTAAGTCCATTTCTTTACACCATCCTGGTTTTAGTGATTTCTGTTACCTGGGTGTCCTGAACAAAAGTTACTAAATCCTCCAAAATTAGCGATCCGCTTTTCTGCTCCAGCTGCCAGTTGTGCTCAGGGCTATGAGTTTTTTAGTTCTCTCTTGCTGTCTCTTATTCTGAGACTGTTGCTCATCCTTTTGTTGTCTTCCTTGTTTGCTGTTTTTAGTTGAAATTCTCTGGATTGTGCTTTGGGCGGTGGAAGCAGGAAGGTGTTACACGCTGCAGTGTTACCAGAAAGATAGATTTCCAATAATTTCCAACAATTAACTATTTGGCCCTAAATTCAGGGAAACCTTGCCAGCTGCTTTCATGAGCTTTAACCTTAAGATGGACAATTTTGCAGTCCCAGAGGAAAGTACCTGTTGACGAAGCAGTTGTTGCCTGGAAAGAAATTACCCCTGAGATACTTGGAGCAAGGTCCGCCAAAGTCTTTGAAATTTAATCCCGAGGTCCTCGATTTACTCATGTTTTTGATAGATGCTTATGGACTAGGTGGTGTGCACGTGGAAGATGTTGCTGTGCTCTGACCCTGGCAAAGCATTTTTAACTATAACGTGTTTCTGCTTAAATACAGTAAATCATAATTCTCCTAAGAGAAAACTGTACTTAGCTGTCAGCGGAAGTGCTTTTGTACATATATACACCAGTTAGTAGGATGTGGAACTATTTTCTAATATTTTTAATTGATTTGCTTGCAACATGAACTCAGGTAGAATTTTCTGTTTAGAAAAAAGTAAATGCAGTTTTTTATGTGGCCAGTCTTTTAACACTCAGGGCTCCGTAACCAAGAACAGTGTTTCATGAAGGGTTGAGTTCGGCTTTTCCTAAGTTTGTCTTTCTGTCATCTTTTCCGTTTTTACATTTTCCCCCCTACCTTTTAATGAAAAAAACAAGTATCTTATTGATTTTATTAGGCAATTAAGTGCTTCTGATAGGAACTGAAGTATTAAATAATGTGCATTTTGTTTCTTTTTTGCTTACAGGAAAGGCATCTTTGATGTCCCAAAGATGTAAATTTTTTACTGGGTTTGTAGTACAAGAGCCATTACAAACCAAGTTTTTACAATACAAGTGGGGTTTGTAAATAGAACACTTTTAGATTGGAGAGCTACAAACACTTTCCAGGTTGATATTTGTTAGTTTAAAGCCCATTAATTTCTCACTTTTAATATTCAATATAGAGATTTTCAGGACGGTGCCATGCGCTTCAAAGGCGCGATGGGTGAAGAGGAGATTAGCTTGCAGTTTAGTGTCTTCTAATCATTTGGGGGGCGGGTTAGCATTAATCTTAATGTTTAAAGTGATCCAGTTCTGAAATGATAGATTGTTTAGAACCTGACTGAAATTCTTCTGTAGAAACTCTGTGATCACAGGGGTCCTCAGGTGCACTGAGGCACTGAAAAGCTAGTTTTCACTGACACATAGGCCTTTTTATCATCAGGATGAGGTAGTGGTCGTATTTTAATTAAAATGTCAGAACAAATACTGTTGGAGTTATTGAAAATGAATCACCAGATAAAGTGAGCACTGGGCCATGGCAGGTCAAAGAGGCAAAGTCACCTGGAGAAGAGGACTCCATTCATTTTCCTGCCTAAATGAGGAAGAAGTAACTTTTATGAGCAATGTGAACTTTTAAATATATTAAAGAGCATCTTGCCCTGTATTAAGGCTCAGACTTTCACAGGCTGATGAATTTAATTTATATTTCAAAGTGTTCAGTATGGTTAGCACCTATTTTTTAAAAAATATTTGACAGTTATAAAAAGATACTGAAGGAATAGCATAGATTTATCTCTTTTTTTTCTAATTCAACTGCTTTAAAATACTGTTTTGAATGCTGTTGTTATCTAGAAGTTTCTTCCTTGGAAAGAGGTAAATCTCGCAAGGTCTTTTACAGGCTTCATTTATTTCAGAGCAGGTGAAATACCAGAAAGGGGACAGCAAATATGCCAAACAAATAGTATCTATTAAGCTGAGAATGCATGTTGTGTCTTCCTCCCTTGCGTTCTGCAGGGTTAAAAAGTGACCTTCATCTTCCGGGAGGTTTTTCTGCCTCTCTGCAGAGGGGTTACACCAATGTGCAAAGTAACTGCACAAAGGTACAGATGATGAACAAGCGAGACGTAATTTGTGATCATTTTGTATTTGTAAGGAGTGTTGTAGCACAGCACGAATCCTCCGTGAAGCGTAGATAAAGATAAATTAATCCTTGATTTTCATTTAGCAGTATTCTGCTTATCGCACATCTCAAACAGAGCACTTGTGGGCTTTCTTAATTCTTTACCTGTGGTTAATTTGAGGGGGAGGTATTCTTTGGGGATTTTCCTTTGTTTTCTTTTATTTGAACCATGAGCATTAGTGACTCTCCTTAGACTGGCTTGAAGACGCTCGATTCTAAAGCACACGGATGTCTGTTAGGAGAAGAGCTCCCGTGCAACGATCAGCTATTAAATGAGGGGGAAAAAGTACACATCAAAAATAGCCTTGCATATGGATTGCAGTAGCTTCAAGTTGGCACAGCCCGTGGAGGACTCGTTCAGACCGTCATATGCTCATGGAGTTTATCCAGAGGAAACTAGATAAAATCAAGTGGAAACGCGTTAAATTTAGACCAAGCTTCTTGGTAGCGTGCTCTTAGGTGATAATTGGTTCTTATGCGGCATAGTGTGAGCGGAGTAAGCAGACTTGACCTACCTAGGGTTGTAAACGAAAAGAGAAGTATGGTGAAAGAGTACCGCAGAAAAGAGTGGCAACTAAAATTAATTGGCTTTTTTTAAAAAGTGTATATTGTATACAGTAATTCCATGTTAATCAATCAACTTTTAGTATGCTACATTGTGTATTTCCTTTATTACGCATGAACATTACTTCTTTTTCTTTTCAGAGACGGAAAATGAAGAACTGGAAAAACCTAGAGTCCTCTGGGCAGTCTACTTCAACATGAGAGATTCTTCAGGAGTTGAGAAAAATGCATATGATGGCTTACCCTCAAACATTTATGTCTGTTCTGGACCCGACTCCGCTTTAGGGAATGACTGTGCTGTCAAACAGGTAGGGCACGTGATTATTTTTTTCAGTCACAGAATAATTTTGAAGACCTCAGGAAGTCGAATACAATCTGCTTTTGTTCTGGGTTATTCTGCTTAATGCAGCCATAAAACTTCACAGCTAGACATACAAAAAAACCTCTTACTTAATGAGCAGAGTGCATGTCAGTGGGATTGAGAATGAAGGAAATTTGAGAAAAAATTGGTTGATCCGGTAGCATTGGGAGTAGCAGGTAGTTAATCTAGAAGGCAGCAATACCTAAAGGTGATGATCTTGTAGAATGGTTACTTGCTCTAATACCGTGGAAAGGAAAAACTGACAAATAATACAGAAATACAGATGATAGTTCCCCAAAATCTGTAGCCTGAGCGTCTGGTTCCTGCTAACTAGAATCCTGAACTGAGAACCACCTGCACCTTGCCTCACGGTGGGCGCACTGTACCGGTTCTCGCTTTAAAATGAACTGTTAGTGCTTTGAAATTGGAGGTGAAGAGTGAAAGCTTCCTAAACAAACCTAGGCAGGTGGAGAGAGCACGAAATAGCCAGCTTCCATGTTGGCAACAGACACAACGTGCAGGAACGCCAGGTCTTGGAGGGCAAGTATGCAGAATTTCATAAAGCACTTGGTGTCAGACCTCTTCTCGCACCTTCCTTCTGCTGCTGAGCGGGAAACGAGGTCGTGAGAATGGGGAGGTCATGACTTGCTCAGCAGAAGAGAGCTACAGGAACGCTTCTGGTCCGAGATGCCCCGTGATGAGGGAGGTGTAACCTCTTGGGTGAATCTATCCCAGCGCTCACTGTGGTGTTTTCTCTGTGCGGCGCTTTCAGAGCTAACGCGAGGACACTTCCGCATCTGCGTAGGATTAACTGACACGTGTCATTTTTCAAGCTGTTTTTTTAAAGACCGTGTTGAGAGAATGTGCATGCCATCTTCTAACCAGTTGCTGGATTTTTTTATGGCCAACATAAACCTCTTAAAAACAAGATTTTAAAGTGGACATAGCCTGAACTGTAGGGTTGGAACAGTATAATTCAGGGCTAATAGTACCCTTCATTTTGCTTTACAAGGCAGTAATTTGCCTCCCAAGAGGATAAAGAACTGTAAAATCAAAAAATAATGCAAGGCAGTTATTCTGGCAGCGGTTTTAAATTGTAAATGAGTTATTTTCTGAACGAGTTTTTTAAACTCTTGTTTAACCCAGTGCAAGTTAAAAGCTGTCCAAACACGCTTAAAACCCAGCCTATTTTTAATTCTTATAGCCACCCTTTCTAGCATTCAGCTTTGTCTTACCTTAAGAGCTTTTTTTCCTTATCAATGACCAATGGTATTTATAGATCAAGCTGTGTCAAAAGACACCACAGCTTCTACAGATTATCCCTCCACAGCTCGATAAACAAATTACTTCATTCTTACTTTATTTTAATTGAGTGTTAAATTCTTAGCAGAATATTGAATTCATTTTGATGTCTACAGTTACTTGCCTGAGGACAGGCTGAATAAAATGTAAAGTGCCATTTACGATTCCTTCAAATTCTGTATCTATGGATCAAGCAAGTCGTCTGGCTTCCAGTGTTCTTTCTTTTCGCTGCTACAATCTGACATGTATTATTATGTATGTTCCCTGCAGTGTTTCAGATTTCTGAGGCATCTTCATATTCGTAAGAGGAAGCACTAAAATCATCGTGCCAGTATTTGTCCTTTAACTTGTTTGGTTTTGTCTGTATCTGGAAGGATTTCAGTTACTCAATTCCGCTCCTTTTGACCTACTGTTACCTTCAAAAAGTTAATTTTGTACGTTTTTAGAGGGATATTTTTATCCTTTGGACTCGCTAAACAACTTTTTCAAATTACCAAGCCGTGGTTTTGAAGTAGAGAACAGGATTTTTTTTTTTGGTACGTTATTTCATATACTAATATAAGTAGTTTTAAACCATTTTAAATGGGTATGGAAGAGTGAAATTTAGGAAGCAGAATGAAAAATTCAGTTTAACTGTGAGTCGACAGGGTCATTTAAGCAGTTAATAAGGGAGTCCTACATCCACATGCTGGTGATAGAAATCCACTGCTGGTGGGCACCCAAGTTTTATCACCGAAAGCTGTTTGGTACCTGCTCAGTGATGTATTAACCTGAAAACAATTCCCTCTTGTCCAGGAGTCGGCATCGTGTAATCAGCCTTTGCGGTCGGCATTCAGTGACCCTGCCGTCAGCTTTTTCGGCGCGGTGTCTGGTAGCGGGAGGAATCTCAAGATTAAATGTGTTCTTGCCTCTGTGGGAGCTCTCGTCCCAGGTCGTCTGCGGGGCAGAGTTTACTGAACAGACAAAATCGAGAGGCCGTGGTCCTTTGCCTTTTTAGAACCCCAAAACGTAACTGTGTTGGTTGTCTCCGTTTGCCTCGGAAGCCTGAGGACTTGGAAGAGAAAACCTGTAGGGAAGGGTGAAGTGCGTGTGGATTAGTAAATACATTCCTGAGTTTCTGTAGCTTTTTTTTTTAAAGATAGGCTGTTTGCACAAATTATTTAACACTATTTAGCACACCGAGTCCTTCTGTTTTGTAAAGGATTTCTGGCATCCAGTGTTTTTATCAAATGTCTTGATCTCAAGAATTCAAAGATCGATGTTTTGTTTCTTTTTCTCCCAGATTTTGTAGTTGTATTCTGTACGTTTTCATAACAGCTACCCTCGTGTTATCAAGAACACATTTCTTGTTAAAGTCTTTCAGTGGACTTAGTTTGTAAACCTCGATGGCATGAAGAGTAAGCGGCATTGCAAATTAAAACCTTGAGCTATATCTTAAAGGTAACCGTCCTGTTATCGGAATCCAGGTTGCCTGCGCGGATCGTTCGGGAAAGGGATAATTGGTGCAGACAGGTGTATGCAAGTAACTCATTGAAATGATAGACGTGTTTTTCAGATTAATTGTGAATATATACAAATATGCAGATACGATAGTGTGATCACTTGTCATTGGATGAGAATAGTTCTCAACTGAGCCCTGGATGAGCTGTTCAGAAAAACAGAAGTGAGGATGATTTTTTGTAATTTTTAAATTTAAGAAGGAAACTCGCATAGATTTGGGGATAATTCGTGCACACAGATGTATGCGTATAACTCCTTGAAATGATAGACGTGTTTTCCAGATTAACTGTGAATATATACAAATATGCATATGTGATAGTGAGGATAGTTCTCAACTGAGCCCTGGATGAGCTATTCAGAAAAACAGAAGTGAGGATGATTTTTTGTAATTTTTAAATTTAAGAAGGAAACTCGCATAGATTTGGTGTGGATTGTACATATTAAGTTCCTGGTTTTGCCTGTCATGTGTAACAGATTCTTCTTGCTGGAAAGAGCCAAGATCTCTCACGTGCTCTGTGTTTGACTGCAGCTGGAGATATTTTTATAGGGGAAAAGATGATTTTGCATGCAAAAAAATCACCTTTGTTATTCTCAGTACGATGTAGAATCACAAACTTTTTTTTAAAATGCTGAGGCTTTCCTAGTAGAACAATGTGAAAAGGTAGATACCACTTCTTTTTCCCCGAGGATGGAAGGAACAGATTTCCCGTGTGTTTACAATACTGTCAAAGTATTAAATCACTATTGATCTGAAAGAACAGAGGTTAATCTGAAATATCTGTAAAATATTGCTGCAGGGTATTACATTTCAAGGTAAAGCTTATTTTATGGTGTTGGTTTTTTTCTGAATAGGCTGAGGCTATCTTCCAAGAAATGTTTCCTACAGAGGAATTTTGCCCACCGCCACCGAATCCGGAAGATATTATTTACGATGAAGATGAGATTGCACCAGAAGAGGCTGGATTCAGTAATTCACCAGAGCCAAAACCTGAATCCCCGACTGAGGAGAGCAGTAGCGGAGGCAATACTGCTATCAAGAAGGACGATAATGAAGAATGAATTAGCACTGGTCTCTTAGTAGAAGAGAAGATTGACCCAAATTAAAGTGTAAGGGAGGAAGGGTAAGAAAGAGAGGTTTAAAAACCCCATAGCTGTGTCGTTTGCACTTGCCTTACTTTCGTTAGCTTGAGCCATCTTTTCTTTGTCAAACAGTTTCATTGGTAGCTGAGACATTTCTGAATAGTCATAGGTCCACCGGATCCACGGAACAAAACATGTGAATTTAAAATGCTGCAATAGGATTCATGATTTGTTACGAGATTTTGGGTTTGTTTTACAATGTGGCAGGAAAAACTAGTCAGAACTTATCAGAAGAAAAGATGTGCAGGTTTTCTTATCAGCCAAAAAATGATCTTCTGATACAACGTGTCCACGTGCTACTAAAAATCACTGGATCTGGGCTGATTCAACGGTTGAAGGTGAGCTCCGGGGTCTGTCTTGAAGTGGTTTTGTGAATGGAACTTAAAGGCAATAATGTTCCCGGTTCTGGAGTGGCTTTAGAACAAGTAGTAGATGTCATGTTTAATTTCTGTAATGAAAAATTTCTCTTCTGGTTTTGAAACTGGTGCCATAATGTAGAAACAAATACAATACAATAGGTGTTCCTTACATTAAACTAGTTTACATCCAATTTTTTTTAATAAGATCTTACAGGTCACACATTTTTACCAGTGGGTTGATTTACTGTAGTCAGGAAAATTGCACAATTTAAACTTAATGATAGATTTGCCAACATTTTAAAATCGTAAATGGAGCAGACCTGGATTTGTTGCAGCGTTTGGGCCTTTAATAAGCCAGTAGTTCATTATTTTTAAGTATAGTGTCTGAGAGGTTTGGATGATCATTAATTGAGGGGGTTTTGTGGTGGGGAGAGGGTTCAAGTGATAATCCCAAAGGCTTGTATTGATCCCAGTTAATAGGATTAAAATTAGCGTGATAGCTGTAAATCCTGCATTTTGTAATGATAAATCATAAAGCATTTATACAATAAAATTTATTGAATTATTTATAAGCCTAGTTTATATGAAAAATTATGAAATAAGAAAGCTCTTGTAAATGACCGTGGTAAACTTGCACTTCCTCTGACTAATGCTTGAAATTAGATATTCAGATCCTGAGAAATATTTAGCATCAACTTAAGATTTGCTTTAAAATGTACACCCAACAGATGAGTAGATGATCGAAAACTAGAGATCAGTGAGTTTTGTGAACTGAGTGGGGATTAAAGCTTCGACAGGAACGTAGGATGTAGTTCTAGCAGTGCTTAAATGCTGTGTGTAAACCAAAAAATGCCATTGAGAAATGACTCTTCAGCGCTGCCTGAACTCGCCCGGGCTTTGGAACAGTTTGGTGGTGCACGTGCCTGCCTTGAAAACGGCTTCATGCCACGAAGGTTAATTTATTTATTTTTTTATAGCGTAATCGATACAGTTAACTTCTCCTTTTGTCTTGCATCAGAACGCGTTGTCCAGGTTGCATTTCGAAAACCGGCTTGTTTGAGTTCACGTTCTTTGTTTGCGGGGTTGGTACCGTGGTGTGTGTGATCCCCAAGTCCTCTAGAAAAATACACGCGTCACATGTTCCCAGTGTTAAACAACGGTTACCTTTGGGTGCTTGTGATTGAGCGGTTATTTATATCTAGTAATAAGCAGACTGCCTCCTCATTTAGCTGGAATTTTTACGTGTATGGGAAAGCATGAGTATATGGTACTTGTATTTAACGTCTACAGATCTGTAAAAGACCTAAGTGGAGGACTTAGTCTCTGTTCGTCTTTCAAAAATAGGAGTCACAGTTGAATTTTTCATCTTCTGTGTTTACGTTCTTCTGATGAAAATTAAAGGTTTGCTTGCAAGTGCATTCTTGCTGTGTTTTCTTTCAGTTCCGTGAGAGCGGAGCTGCGATTTCCCGATGATTCTGCTGTCGGCTTTCATCGTGTTGACATCTGTAATAAAACTGAAGTTTACGTGTGTGACAGCGTGTTTATCTAAGTTAGCAAGTTTATATCAAGTCCTGTCGTAGCGCTTTGTGTCCGTGGGAAGCAAAGTTTGGAAATACTGCAAATCTGATTTTAGATAAGAATAATCTGCAAGTTGTAGGCCATGACTTTACACTACATTGATTGCTTAAAAACTGTTTTCATGTCTCATTTGTATGGAGAATGGAAACATAAAATGTTTTTTCCTATGGTACTTGAGTACTCAATAGCTCACTTGCGATAGCGGTAGATAAGACTGTTGATCCTTGTATTTTATAGAAATCATGCACCAATCTGCGTTTTATTCTTGCTTTAAATGATTTAAACGTACAAAGTGAGGGTTAGGCTTATTTGAAATAGTTTTTAAGGCTTGTCATACAGGATGTATTCAAAAGATAACACGACTTTTTGAAAACTGGCAGTTTATCTGTGGGAGTATTAATAAATCAAGTTAAAGAACGATAAGGTTAATTGAATTTTTAAACAAGTAGCTGTATTATCCTTCAAGCACCTTGGAGCTCATGCAATATTCACACCTTTTTTTTTTTTTCCTTTTTTTTTTTCCTGAGGAGTGCTTTGATATGTTTGAATTCCTTTTTGTAATGAGTACTTTCTTTTTAAGTTGGTCGATTGGATTAACCCTTAATATTCAAACAGTCATTTTTATGCCATTTTCCCTTCTCCTGTTGTGTTGCCCGCTCTGTATGGCTGCAATTAGTTACTGTTCCTTTAGAAGGATTTTCAGGCGTGAAGCTGCTACGTCTGCTTTTTCTGGTGATGATGATGCTTGGGGCCATTTGACAGGTAATCATTAGAACCTCGATCCTTGCAGACTATGGGGTCTTTTCTCCTATCATTGCAGGGGGATTTATGTAGGTAACTCCTATTAATGTTAATGGGACTTGCATGTGAAAATCCTCCTTGCATCAATGGCAAAATTGACCCCTGGAAAAAGAAAAAAAATCTTCACATTTGACTTGCTGATGATTCAGAAGCATCGAGGCACTGTGGGCTCCTGCGTGGAAGTGTGAGGGAGCACGTGCTTCGTGCCGCTTTGCTGGAGTGCTTGTGGAATTTTCGGGGGGTTTATCTTTTATATTGTATTTTATATTTTACGTACACTTCCCGATATTCTCAGAGTTCCTCTAATGATTGTCTTTTTGTAGCTGTATATTAGGTCCTTCTCTGCCCTCCAAATTTTTTACATCAGCAATATGTGTCGTTGCAAGAGCTGGATTTCAAGACTATTTGTTAGCAGTGTGTGGATCAGTGACAGAGCAGAAGTATTAAAGTACTGTTTTCATACAGAAGGGGACTAGGTTGTTTACAATCCATAATCTTGTCTGTGAAAAGCATAAAATTAATTTCCTCAAGGCTCTCCCAGTTTTTGAGTGGAAATACGTGGGAACTGCTCGCTTCGCTGTGGCGGTGGAAAGAAGAGAGACGGACAAACAGCTGGAAACAGCTGCAGGGGAGGATGAAATGGGGGCTGTTTCTCGTAACCTTCATGCTCCGAGATCAGCTGAGTCTTGCACTTTTAATTTCCCCTTTTGCTGTGTGAAATTTCTACATAATTTTGAACAGTCTGGGGGAAAAAATAAAAGTTTTTCAGAATGAGGCAACAGCAATTAAGCAAGAATGGAAGAACATATAAATGAAGTGATTCCCAGCATGTGGGACTTTGCAGTACAAATAAGAATGAATTTTCTTTATCTGTGAATGTTCCTCTGTTCTTTATCATGGATTTTGTTGCTCAGTCAGTTACTATTGTAGATTTTTATGTAATCCTCTTCAGTACATTCTAGGTTTTTACTTATCTGACAATTTAATATCAGTAGCAAGTCTTCCCCTTTAAAAGTAACAATTTTGCTGTTGGAACTACCCTAAACTGCTCCAGATACCTCCTAGCTTTTCTGCCGTAATGGATGTTCTTTTCACCCATTAATTATCACTAAGCTCTGCAAATTCCGGTGGGTTATCTGCTGTTGATGCCCTTTTATATTTTTCCTTAGAATTCCCTGACCGAAATTAATGCGGTTATTAATTTTCCAATTAAGGAGGCAAGTTGCTGAGATCACATCATGAAGCTAAACTGACGGATGTGTGCGTATACAATTCTAAAAAGATTTTTTTTATTCAAATTAGCTTTGTGTGTATGTATCTATATCTCTTAGGACTAAATTTTTAACTCATCCAAGTTTATCATTTAAACTTTTTCAGAAATCAACCACTACAGAATGTCCAAAAGTTAGAATTACCTGCTATTCCCCAAACTGTCAAAAATATATGAGAGAGTTGTGGTGGCAGGGCAGTTGCTTGCATTCCTTGGGTAAGTAGTAACGTGAAGTTGCTTTGCTAAGATGTAGAAGTAGTTGTAACGCTGGAAGTTTGAGATGCTGCTATAAAATATTCATTGATTGCAACTCAATTTAATAATAAGATCGCTTCAATAATTGGATGGAAATCTTAACTTGTTTTATAATAACAACAACTTTTTGATGTGATTAAAAATTCCAATAGAATGATACTTTCAGCAGCAGAAGTAAGTAGCAGGAAACGGTCAGCCATGCAGAATTCATGTCGTCAGCCTCGTATCTAGCAAAAAAATTACTTTTGGTGGAAAGAGAGCTTATTAGCAATTCCACCATTATGTTTATTTACAGGCTGCCAGTTCCTGTTGGTAAGAGTGAATGGTTCTTCAAAATCTGGGTGGGGAGCCAGGCCGGAATGTGGTAAATCTCGATGACATTTGAGGTTTAGAAAGTTGACAGTGACATATCGGGGAGATGTGGTTGTTGACTGCATGGGAGTTCTGATCAGAGGAGACTTTAATAGAAAATACGCTTCTTGTCACGTTTCTAACAGACAATGTATTTTACACTACTTGCATGCCTTGACAAAAAGACAGAAGGTATCAGCCTGGGTGTATATCAAGACTCAGATGGGTTTGACTCAACAGCGGTTACACGGGCAGTGGTTGACTCCCCGTGTCTATGATGCTGCTCTGGTGGCACTTTCATGTGG